CTATCACTTTACAGGCAACTAGGGATGGGCAATAAATGCTAGTCAGCCAGTGACGCCCACGTCCCTCAAGTGAATTAAAAAGGGCATTGTTTAAAATTTTCACACAACCATTTCCTCTCTTGCACTTTAGTACATTACAATGGTTCATGATTGAAATACAATATAGACAAGAAACATTTAGCAGTATAATTACAAGTTGTATCCTTCCAAAAACTCAGGCAGATAGTGACATAGTGGACTAGTAATCCAGAGGCCCAAGATAAGACTCCAGGGGCATGCATGTGAATCCTCCACAGCAGATGGTGAAATCTGAGTTCAGTTAATGAAATCTCGAATTAAAAATGAATCTAATGGTAAACATGCAGCCATTAATCATCTGTCCTAAAGAAAATATCGAGTTGACAAATGTACATTAGGGAAGGGAAATATACCATTTCCTATCTGGTGTGGCCTACATGTGTTTCAGGGCCTGAAACAGTGTGCTGACTCCTAATTGCTTTCTGATAGGTCTAGCAAGCCTGTTACTTCAAGGGCAATACATGATGGCCTGCCAGTAATGTCAACTCCCATGAAAGAAGAAAGAAAATCTGAAAGCTATCAGGATAGCATGTGTTTTGAACATCACAGAATCATAGAATCCCTACAGTGTGGAAGCAGGCCATTCGACCCATCAAGTCCACAGGGACTCTCCACACAGCATTTCATACAGATCCAACTCCCTACCCTATCCCTGTAACTCTGCATTTTCCATGGCTAACCCACCTAGCCTGCACATCCCTGGACACTATGGGCAATTTAGTATGGCCAATCCACCTAACCTGCACGTCTTTTGATTGTGAGACGAAACCGGAGCACCCAGAGGAAAGCCACCCTGACACATGGAGAATATGTAAACTCCACACCGTCACCTGAGACTGGAATTGAACCTAGGTCCCTGGCGCTCTGAGGCAGCAGTGCTAACCACTGAGCCACCATGCTGCCCAAGACGCATAACAGTACAATAAAATCCTGGTGGTTACAGGTCTGTCAGTGATGGTGACACAAGTGAAATTAATTTGAGGACAGCAAAAATGTGTAGTGTAAGGAGTATGTCAGTGAGTGCAATTTGTCCTTTCAGACATATTAATAAACCTGGTGATAATAATGTGACTGTCACCAGTACTCAAGCTAAAATACTTATAGTGTGGAAGGAAGCAAAAAAGACACTGATGAACCTAGTCAATACATTGAGAAAGAGAAGGGAGTAAAATTTGAAATGAAAAGAACAGTTTTTATTAAAGTGCTATAGATTTGTGCTCATAACGCTAAAGATGCTAGGATGGAGGAAATGGAGCTCACTATTGCCGGGCCCTAACGTCACACAATCTTTCACACAACAGCCTTCTAAGATCTAAATGGAAATCTATAATTCTATGAGGAACCAGACTTAACTTTTGCTACAGGCTCCTAATCACTGGGAGCAGGGCTGTGAAACTGTCTGAACGCCTTTTAAGTAGGCCCTTTAAGTACAGACGACACTGTAATTTCCTCAGTCCGGATATTAACGCAGACCACAAAGTGAAAGACCCACTTCCCCAACTGCCATTTGATTTGTAGCCATTCAGCTTCCAATTGTGGCAGAACTGGAAATGCATCATCTAGTGATTCATGATTTCCATTCATCATTCACCTTGCTTATGACTCCTACTTCTTTGTGATTCTATTTCAAAGCTGACAGCTGCATTTCGTTTCCTGGCACCTTCCTCTAACAGGTGAGCTGAACAGCTTATTTCTCTGTTTAAGTGTCAGTGTAGTTTAGTGGGCAGCACTCTCGCCTCCACATCAGAAGGTCATGGGACTAAGTTATATTCCCAATAAGAGCGTTTCACCTGTTAGACCTGCCATAAGTCAGATGAGACAGAGACTGCAGTCCTGTATATCCTAAAAGGAGGGCGCAACAGATTCCAAGCTACCATTTCAAATGAAAGCCAGAGTTTTGGCCAAAATTTACTCCACAACTATGATTCACTGTCACAGCATTAGGGGGAGCTTACAATGTATAAATTACAAATACACGTCTTATAACAGGGTCTAAACTTCTAAAGTGTTTTGAGATGTTACAAGGTTGTAGAAAAGTATCTCTTTCTGTCAGATCCTCAATCCAAATGCAGAAAGCTGGTTGGCAGAGGGGAAACAAAGAGTAGGAATTAATGGGTCCTTTTCAAATTGGCAGGCAGTAAATAGTGGGGTGCCACAGGGATCACTGCTGGGACCCCAGCTATTCACAATATATATTAACGATTTGGATGAGGGAACAATTTGTACCATCTCAAAGTTTGCAGATGATACCAAGTTTTTTTATTGGGGTGGGGGGTGGTAGAAGGCTGAGGGGGTGAACTGTGAAGAGGATACAGAGATCCTTCAGCATAGTCTAAACAGGTTGGGTGAGTGGGCAAACCAATAGCAGATGCAGTATAATTTGGATAATTTCTAACTGGACTAGAAAGGGTAACTGCAGGATGTTCCCGATGATCGGTGTGGCCAGAACCAGGGGTCACGTCTGAGGATTCAGGGTAGATCATTTAGGATGGAAACGAGGAGATGGAAATGGGGAGACATTTCTTCACTCAGAGTTGTGAGCCTGTAGAATTCATTACCACAGGAAGTACTTGATGCCAAAACATTGAATGTATTCAAATGGCAGCTGGAAATAGCACTTGGGGCAAATGGAATCAAAGATTATAGGGAAAAAGCAGGTTTAGGCTATTGAGTTGGACGATCAGCCATGATCATGATGAATAGCAGAGCAGGCTGGAAGGGTCAAATGGCCTCCTCCTGCTCCTATCTTCTATGTTTCTATGTTTCAAGACTAATCTAGGACCAACACTGAGGCCTCACGCAGATCTCCCGATTCCCTAAGGCGCCAAAAATCTGTCTACCCCAGGATTAAATATGTTCATTGATTGAGTGTCCACAACCCTCCGAGTTAGAGAATCTGAATGATTCATAATCACTTGAACAAAATAATTTCTCTTCTCACCCTAAATGCCTGGTCCTTTATGCTGAGACTGTGCTCCTGTTTTGGATTCCCCAACCAGCAGAAATAATCTCTACTGTCTGTCCTATCAAGCCCATTTAGAATGGTCTGTTTCAATATGAGCACCTCCATCAGTATCCTGTACTCAATGTCTTGGCCTGTCAATACATCAAAATTAACTGATATTTCAGCTTCTTTCCCTAATCAACTTTATTACCTTCTAAAAGCTCTGCACTCTTCCGGTTCTGGCATCTTGACTATTTCAGCTTTTAATCACTTTGCCAGTGATGGCCATGCCTTTAACAGCCTGGGAAGTGAGCTCTGGAATTTTCTCCTAAATTTCTCTGCCTCTCTCACCTCCATTAAGATGTTTCTTAAAACTTTTTTCACCAAAGCTTACATCATCTGCCATAACTTATGTGACTCAGTATCAAATATTGTTTAATGTTTACTCATGCGAAGGACAGCTCACTATGTTTAACGCACTCTAACTGAAGATTCAGAAGAAGTCACCATTCCTGAAACATTAACTCTGTTTTCTCTCCACAGATGCTGCCAGAACTGCTGAGTTTTGCCAGCAATTTCTATTTTTGTTTCTGATTTCCAACATCCGCAATTCTCTGGTATGTTATCGTTTCTGAATGACTGCCCTTCCCAGTTTCCACTTCTGGCACTGACCACTTAAATGTCTGACACAAGCTCAGTTCTTTGGCAGTTACAAAGGCAAGTGGCTGAGTTCCTAATCAGACTGCAATACACTGAAAGAACTGTGCACTAAAAGGTATCACAGCATTAAAATGATGTCAAATTGTGATAAGAAATGCAGAAATTCATTTTACATTTTTCCTCAGTAACAAAAGCTGAATTACAGAAAACATAGCTTGAATTTCTATAGGTTCTTTCATGACTTGAAGACATTTGAAAACTCTTTAGAGCCAATGTAGTACTTTTGAACTGCTACTACTGTTGTTGTAAGCAGTTGATTTGAACAGAGTAATATTTTACAAACACCAAAATTCTTAAGCAAGAACTGAAATCGGAGCAAAAGCTGGATGCTACCACTGAGATGGGCATGGTTTTGTTTTATTTCATTCATCGGAGGAGAGTGTCACTGGCTAGACCAGCATTTATTACCCATCCCTAATTGCCCAGAGGGAAGTTAAGAGTCAACCACATTGGTGTGGGTCTGGAGTCACACGTAGGTCAGACCAGGTAAGGATGGCAGTTTCCTTCCCCAAAGGACATTAGTGAACCAGATGAGTTTTTCCCAACAATTGACAATGGATTCATTGCCAGTATCAAACATTTAATTCCAGATTTTTATTGAATTCAAATTTTACATCTGCCATGGCAGGATTTGAACTCGGGTCCCCAAAATATCACCTGGGTCTCTGGTTTAGCAGTTCAGCGATAATACCACTAGGCCATCACCTCCCCTTTCAAAAGTTCCCAGGATCCGGCACGTGCTGGAATGTGGTTGGCAGAGGATGAGACACAAGGAGGAAGTGGAAGCAGAGGATTTCCCAAATATGTGGGATATGGAAAGAGTGGGAGAGGGAAGGCACAGGAGACAGGGATTCTTCCTGGGGTCCTGAAGATTATTCTTTCTCTTCCTAGCTTCCAAGCAAGAAAATTAAGTTGACCTGACAGGGCATTGTGGAAACTCCCATGACTCACATTGGGTATCTCTCTTAGGCCTCCTGCCAACATTCTGGTTAAAACAGCATCACTGAGCCACAACTTCTCCTGTTCAATGGAGCTTCAGTCTGGAGGACCGGAACCTTGGGTGATTTGAAAGCCAATATAAAAATGGAAATGGATAAACATTAGGCCCATCAGATGATGTCCAATTCTGGTTGCTTCCATTCGGCAGGAACCTGAATGGAATGAATCATTGCACATGGGTCTATCCCCAGCATTAACAGCTCATAGAAAAGACGGTTTTTAAAATCCTCTGCTTGTTAAAATTCTCTTCACCCCTTACCTGCTGATGGCTTGTTCCTCGTCCGTTATACCAGTCTCCCTAAATGCTCGGTTGGACTCCTCCAAACTCAAGGCGATTGCTCTCTGCAAGTCATCTTTGTCATCTCCCGTAAGGTCAATAACATCTGGAATTGTGACAAACAACACCCTTGATTTAGACACAACTTTATATTTTAGGGGTGAGGGGTGAGCTGTGGGGGCTAGAAAGATAATTTGAATGAAATAAGGACAGAAGTACAGGAAAAATGACAGCAACATGGATTTCAGCAAAGTACAAGCAAATAAGTCTAGGGGTATGATTCTTGCTCAGGGGTTTGTATTCAACTCCCGGGTTCAAATCGGATGAGCTCTGGTTGTTCAGGAAGGCACGGTGGCTCAGTGGTTAGCAATGCTGCCTCAGTGCCAGGAAACCCGGTGTGATTCTGCCCTTGGGCAATTGTCTGGGTGGAGTTTGCACATCCTCCCTGTGTCTGTATGGGTTTACTCCGGGTGCTCTGGTTTCCTCCCACAGTCCAAAGATGTACAGATTAGGTGAATTGGCCATGCTAAATTGCCTATAGTGTCCAAGGAAGTGCAGGGTAGGTGGATTAGTCATGCAGGGTTACAGAGATACGGTAAGGGGGTAGTTCGCTATTCGGAGGGTTGGTGTGGACTCAATGGGACGAGTGGCCTGCCTCCACACTGTATGGATTCTATGATTCATCAAATAACTTCCTGGAGCGTCGGAGGCTAAGGGGTGACCTTATTAAGTTTTACAAAATCATGAGGGGCATGGATAGGGTGAATAGTCAAGATCTTTTCCTCAGGGCAGGGGAGTCCAAAATTAGAGGGCATAGGTTTAAGGTGAAAGGAGCAAGATTTCAAAGGGACCTGAGGGGCAACTTTTTCGCGCAGAGGGTGGTGTATGTATGGAATGAGCTGTCAGAGGAAGTGGTGGAGGCTGGTACAATTACAGCATTTAAAAGGCACCTGGATGAGTTTATGAATAGGAAGCTTTTCAAGATTATGGGCCAAATGCTGGCAAATAGGACTAGATTAATTTAGGATATCTGGTTAGCATGGATGAGTTAGACCGAAGGGTTTATTTCCATGCTGTACATCTCTACGATTCTATGACTCATTGGGTTGATGAAACATTCATATTAGGAAGAAAAACATCCAGTAATGCAGTTAGGTATTCTTTCCTTCCAAATTTGGGCTTAATCAAAGGCAAGTATCTATACTTTTCCCAGAAAATGGAATAGAAATGCAGGATTTCATCAATGAAACATCCTACAAATGCTTGAATTCAAAAGAGAACTCGGTTTATTCAGGTACAAACAATGACTGTCTTTAATGGAAACTATATGGAATATCTGGGTGCCATAGTTCAGTAGAGTGAACACTGAACACAACAGTCACAGGCCTGCTCACTGATAAGCAATTTAATATCTATAAAAATACCAAGATCAGGTACAAACAAAAATCAAAAAAGTTGATTAAAAAAAATCAAAAAAGGCAGACAGTGGAGAGCCTGTGGAGTTCTCTGCCACAAAACACTGAATGTTTTCAAGAAGGAGATAGATATTGTTCTTAGGGCTCAAAGGGATCAAAGGTTTTGAGGAGAAAGCAGGAACAGAGGACTGAATTGGACGCTCAGCCAGAATCATACTGAATGATGCTGCAGGCTCGAAGGGGTGAACAGCCTACTTCTGCTCCGAGTTTCTATGTTTCAATGCTAATGGAATGATGGCCTTTATATCCTAGGAACAGACCTCTGGGAGCTTGGTGTACAAGTTATAACTCAAACATACAAAATCTTGTCAGTTCTGAGGTTGGGTCACACAACCCGAAATGTTAACTCTGACTTCTCTCCACAGATACTGCCCGACCTGCTGAGCTTTTCCAGCAACTTCTATTTTTGTTTCTGATTTACAGCATGTGCAGTCCTTTCGGCTTTTATACAAAATCGTGGTTGCACTATAACTGGTGTGCTGTAGGTATGTCTGATAATGCACTGTGAAAGGATATATTGGTCTCAGAGAAAGTACAGTGAAGATTTACAATGCTGATACTTGGACTTATTTCCATTATGAGGACAGGTTACACAAAGTTGGATTGTATTCCTTGGAATCGAGACATTTAATGGGAGTGTGTTTAAAGTTTTTTTAAGTCCAGTATTAAGGGAAAATTATCAGGTGGATAAACAGAAACTACTTCTGCTGCTTGCAAAGTCTAGATACATAATAACAAGTCTAGATAACAATTCAACCCAGATCTTTCAGGTTTTGGTATACTTCAATATAAAAAGAATGACAGTGGTTGACAACTTTCTTCACAAACACTAATAATGCAGCAATGACAAATTTGAAGCGATCTTCTTTATATTGTGGTACCCTCCTTCACCACTGCTCTATACAGGCTTTGGTTCAAAAGTTGAAGACTTTCAGATCTTCAGTGTTGCATGGTTCTGGTAGGAGAGATGTCCTAGGAGATTTTTCATCATTTGGGTAGCCTCTGTACAATCACAGTTGACAGAATCTGCTTGGGTGCATCACCATTTTTGCATTAGAGTCTTATAATGGCAGTCAACTGAGATCCTGTGAAGTAAGCCACGTTCACAAGCTCCTAATGGGAGGGATTCCTCTGGATCAACCCATTACCTTCATTTGTAGATGTTTTGACCAATTCATAAAGCAGCAGCTTTTGGGGTTCTGGTCTAGGGACTAGGCAGTATATATGAAACTACCCTTTGACTTCAACATTTCTGTTGCTAAAATTGATAGATCTTTTGTTGAGTATTGCTGAACGTCCAGATATATGAAACAGAAGTAGACCATTTGGCCCCTTGAGTTTGCCCTGTCATTCAGTAAGATCTGGCTGATCTGTTTTGTGCTTCAAATTCCACCTTCACACAAGGCCAGCCTGTCCAACCTATCCTAAAAGGCAACACACTCAATTCCAGCTACCAATTCAGTAAACCTCCTTGGAACCACCTTCAATAAATTCACACCCTTCCTTAAATAAGGAGATCAAAGCATTTGAGATGTGATCTCACCAGTGCCCTCTGTAACTGAAGCATAATATGCTTACTTTTGTTAGATTCCTTATGGAATAAAGGATAATATCCAATTAGCCTCCTTGATTATGCGTTGTACCTACAAATTAACTTTGTGAGATTCATGCACTAGAATACTTAAAATTGCTTTGTGCCCTGAAATTCGGCAGCCATTCTCCATTTTAAGTTATATTCTGTTTTTTCATTCTTCCTGCCAATACAAACAACTTCACATTTTCCCACGCTGTACTCCACCTGCCAAAATTTTGCCCACTCATTCAACCTATATTCATCTGTAATTTCCTCATGTTTTCTTCACGATATACTTTTATACCTATCATGGCATCAATTGCAAATTTAGTTGGCATGATTTCAGTTCCCTCAAAGTTACTTATGAAATTATAAAAAAACTGAAGCTCCAGCCCAATTTTCCACTGGACCCCTCTGCCAATCAAAGACCCATGTGTAGATACTCCCTGTTTTTAGCCACCCAGCCAATCTTGCATCCATGCTTATCCATTAGCCCATTGTATGAATTTTTAATGTCAGCACTAACATTTGATGTGGCATCTCATCAAATGTTTTTGGAAATTCAAGACAGAACAGCTACAAACTTCCCAGAAAAAGTCACAAGAATATCAATTCAAGGGGAAACCTGCAACCTTTGCTGCTTTGGAAGAGTGCACTGAGTGGTTGGCAAGTGGACTCAGATTGGTAGAGACAATGTCTGAACAATATAGCTGCTAATGTTGATTGACAGTTAACCACGTTACTTTGTTTAAATTTCAAACCAGGCTGGGCAGGGCATTGAGAAATGAACCTGAAAATGACCGTCACCTGTGTTCTTGAGTTGAAAAGGGCACAGTGCGTATACATGTTTTTTCTGTCTGCATATATGCAGCTTCCAGTACACTTAAGTGTGCTACACTGTGAGCATGACTGATAATCTTAAATAGATTGTCAACATAATTCTTCCAAATTCAATTTCACGAAATATTCAAGTCCTGTACTACCAAATGGCTTGATCTTTGGTGTCTAAAGATATTACTGGAGATGGAGAAAAGCTGAATATAGGGTTAGGTCAGGATAGTCATGATCTCAGTGAGTGACAAAACAGACTGAACAGGCCGAATAGCCTATTTTTTATCCTAAATTGATGAATTAAGTGTGTCACACATTAAGTATATTGATTCAAGAATGATAACCACGACAAAAAAGACAACAGCAAGAACATTACTAACATTCTGAACAAAAACACCTAGTGACAAGGCTGCTCTTACGCATTATTGTACAAGCTTTTGGTCAAAGAGGAAGTCAAAGATGTAGAATAACAAAAAGAGTTTAAGGCATTTTTATAAACCACGGATGCCATAAAACCAAAATATATAAAAAGGAAAAAGTTACAAATGCCCTGCACTTCAATCAAATAGGTTTAACGCTTTGTGGGAGCTTTCATCAGAGTACAGCAAAAAAAAAGTTAGTCTAAAAGGGAAAAAAAAAGGCAGAGATCAGATTTTATTGTTAAACAAAGCGCGTTGTTAAGATCTAGAGTGGACTGCCTGACAAGGCAGGAAAGAAATTCAATAGTAATTGCCAAAAGGTAATTAGATAAATATTTGAAAAGGAAAAATTGTAAAGCTATAGAGCATGATTATCATTAATCAATAATTACGGGAGTAGGACTAGTTGGCTAGTAAGTTCAGATAGTCATAATCATAAAATCATAGAAACCCTATGGTGTGGAAGCAGGCCATTCGGCCCATTGAGTCCATCCCCACCCTCCAAAGATCATCCCCCTATGCAATCCCTGTAACCCTGCATTGACTTTGGCCAATGTACCTAGCCTACACATCCTTGGACTGTTGGGGGGAAACCAGAGCACCCAGAGGAAACCCATGCAGACACGGGGAAAATTTTCCAACTCCAAATAGCTGGTAGCCCAAGGCTGAAATCCAACCCAGGTCCCTGGTGCTGTGAGGCATTAGTGCTAACAACTGAGCCACTGTGCCAAGCTCTGTGATTTAGGAAGGGAGAAGCAGGTGGAAGTTTAAAAGTACAGGCACAATGTAATTCTGTGGAGTATATAGAGACTGACTAGTCACAGTTTCAATTCCTGATATGCACTCAGTTAGCTGCACTTGGACTGACTGCATTAGGGTTAGAATTGGCCTTTGTATAACATGACAATATCGGGAAAAAAAATTAGTCAGCTTTCCCATTTTTGGTTTCAGTAAATGTTGCTGGAAAATTAATCTTTGGGAACATGATTGGGCTCCCTGTGATGGTACTTTTATCTAATTCTTTTGCTGACACAAAGAGAGAAAATTATAGGAATACCCCCTCTTACTTCCCCAAAGAAACATTTACATATGTGAATGGGGCCACTTACAAAGCATGGCTGGCCAAAGATGACCATTTACCTGCATCAGGACCCAACCACCAAATTCAGACATTAAACAGAAGCCTGCAATTTACTTGGCTCCAGTCTTTAGAATAGATAATACAGAGGAACTGGCAGCTATAATTTGATGCACTATAACACGGGTGTCTTGCACACGCACAACACAATAAAAGTGGGCAGCCAAAAGCCATAATCCAAAACCAATATTTGACAGCACAATTAAAATCAGGCAGTGATTTTACAGACAGTTGATCAAAAACTGAGGCTTAAGATTTTCCTGTACACTTGTCCAGAAAACTAATCTTGCTGTTATTAAAGGACAAGCGACAGCCACTCTTTAAAGTGGCATCACTACTTTTCAACTCCGGAGATAGGAGACTCAAAGGTCTGGTCTGACTGTGGGATAAAACTACATCACAATCAAGTGACATTTCAATTCAAGAAGAAAATATAATGCATTTAATGCCTTTATAAGGTTGCTTAGTGACAGAATGTACTACAGGAGTTTAGAATCTGGAAATGTTACTTTGTTCAACTACATATAACTGTAATAGATAAGTATCTGAATTTTACACGGATTGCACTGTGTCACAGTGCTAGTCAGACTCACTTTTCTGAAAAGTGATGAGTGCATTAAGCTACAGGTAGATGAATATATCATGTACCAAAGATATTTCAAATTTTACAGATCTGCTTCCCAGGTCACACAATTGTACATATTGATATTGTACTGAGAGCGCAAATGTGTTTAAGACTGAAGGGCATAAGTTTAAGGTGAGAAGCAAATGGTTTTAGAGGAGATCTGAGAAAGAAATTTTTCATGCAGAGAGTGGTAGATATATGGAACTTGCTGCCTGAAAGGGTGGTGGAGGCAGGTACTCAAGCAACACTGAAGAAGAATCTTGACAAGTACTTGAAATGCTAAGGCATGGTAGGCTATGGACCAAGAGCAAGTAAACAATATTAGTGTAGTCGGGTGTTTGTCTGCACAGACATGGTTCAAAGGGCCTGTATGACTCTATGGCTCTATGACTCTGTCATGAATGATGTGGAAGCCAGGACAGCTCAGTCACATGAAGCCAAGAAAAATATACAAGTTAGACCTAAACTTTGTACATGTACCAGGGTCTACTCTGCAGATCATTCAAATTGTTTAATAGCCAAAGACACTCTACTGTGAAGTAATTTACTGAAAACTTATTTTCATCTGCAAACCCAAGAAAATATAGGAACATGTGAAGTGAAGCATTAAATTCTTAGCATTCTCTGCAGGTTACTTAAATTTACCATTTGCAACCTAACTCTATTGACTTTCCTTTGCCAAATGTCCCTAAATAGCCTTGGTTCTCGAAATCTATTGATCCCAGACAGATAATTAATGATGATTAGCATTAATTCCCCTTTACTGAAGAAAGTTTCCATGTCAAGTTTTTTTTACTTCATTTCCAGAAGACTGAGTTTAGCATGCAAAGTTTACACAGTTTGCAAATTTTCAACTGAAAACATTGAACAAAGATGTAACACTAGGATTCCAGTGTTCATCATTATCTTTTCTTGGTCACTATTGCACCTTTGGGAACATGATTTTGCAAGACAATTGAAATAAAAAAAAAATGACTGATCAAAAGAGGCAAATACTGAAACAACTAGTCATCTGTATTAAAGTTGGTATACAGAAGTGCCAGCGAGCTCAGAAACTCCACAATATTAGGTGGCAATAAATGTTCTTTATTCATCCTTGTGGCAGCTTTGTTGTTGAGGCTTGAATTTCATAACAGGTCTTTCTTCCATATGCCACTTACTTGTGTCAGCCTGGCTTCCCACGCTGATGTAACGATCGTTGCTAGTTTGCCCTGTGTGAAAGTAGGCTTCTTCCTGTTGTGGTGCTTTGGCATTCTTCTCTGTCAGGAAAGAAACGGCTTCTGCAAGATCCCCATTGCTTGCCTGCAAAAATCATGAGAATTAAATTTAGGCTGGGGAATTAATAATGGGAATCCAGAAAATGGCAGAGAAGTTGAATAAATGCTTTGTATCAGTCTTCGCAAGAGAAGACACTAACAGCATTCCAAAATTACTAAATAACCAAGGAATAAAAAGAGGAAAGGAAATAATTACAATAACCATCACTAGAGAAAAAGTGCTAGGAAAATTAATGGGGCTAAAGACTGATAAGTTCCTGGCCCTGATGGAATGCATCCTAGGATATTAAAGTAAGTAGATACAAAGATATTGGATGCACTAGTAGCAATCTTCCAGGAATCATTAGATTCTGGAAAAGATCCAAAGGATTGGAAAATTTCCGATGTAACATTTTATTTAAAAAGAGGAGACAATAAAACCAGATGACTATAGACCAATTGGCTTATTGTCTGCTATAGGAAAAGATTAGCATCTATTATAAAGGATGTATAGCACAGCATTTAGAAATACTTAATAAATGAAGTCAGCACAACTTCATAAAAGAAAAATCATGCCCAACAAATTTACTAGAATTCTTTTAGGATGTTACATACAGGATAGATAAAGAGGAAGCAGTGATTGTAATATATTTCAATCTTCAGAAGGCATTTGACAAAGGTACCACATATTAGGCTACTTAACAGCCCATGGATTTGGAGGCAATATATTAGCATGAACAGAGAATTGGCTAAGTAATAGAAGACAGTTAGGATATGGGAGGGGGAAGTTTTCAGGATGGCAGCAGATACATGAGAACATCACCCCTTGCAAGTTACCCTCCAAGCCACTCACCATCCTGACTTAAAAATATATCACCATTCCTTCACAACATCCTGAAATTGCTTCCATAAGGGTATTGTGGGTCAGCCTACAGCACATGGTCTGCAGCAGTTCGAGGAGGCAGCTCACCACCACCTTCTCAAGGGCAACTAGGGTCAGGCAATAAAATGCTCGGCCAGCCAGCGATGCCCATGTTCTATGAGTGATTTAAAAAGATCTGTAACTAATGGAGTGCCACAGGAATCAGTGCTGAGGCCACAATAATTTGCATTTAATGACTTGGATGAGGCAAGTGAATGCACTATCACCAAGTTGACTGATGAAACAAAAATATGTGGTAAGGCAACTGGTGAGGATGGCACAAAATGTTTGCAGAGGGATACAGACAGGTTAAGCCTGTGGGCAAAAACTTGGCCAATGGAACATAACGTATAACAGGAAGAATAGAACAGCTGAATATTATTTGAATGGAGAAAGACTACAAAAAGATACAGGGCAGAGGGAGTTGGGTGCCCTCGCCCATGTATCACAAAAAGCTAGCATCTATGTTCAGTGGGTAATAGGGAAAGCAAATGGAATAGTAGCCTTCATTTCAAAGAGAGTAGAGTGTAAAAATAGGGAAATTTTGTTAAAACTACAGAAGGCACTAGTCAGACCACAGTTCAAATACTGCGAACAGTTTTTTGCCCCTCTCTGAAAGAGAGGCACGCTGGCTTTGGAGGAAGCCCAAACAAAATTCACTATACTTAATACTTTGTATGGAGGGACTCTCACATAAGGGGAGGTTGAGCCTATGCTCACTGAAATTTAGGCTAATGAAAGTAACATTATTGAAACATACAAGATTAAGGGACTTGTTTCAGACATAATAGGAACTGCAGATGCTGGAGAATCTGAGATAACAACGTGTAGAGCTGGATGAATACAGCAGGCCAAGCAGCATCAGAGGAGC